TCCTCTATCGACGTCCTTGTTCAAAATTTGTCGCCCCGGTTATCGTAATCGTGCCGCCATAACCATTGCCATAACCGTAACACATTAACTATCATCGATTATAACTATAAACAACTGAGTTTTCGTAGTCAACAATGTCGGTGTTGCCAGACGCAACCCAAGATGCTTCTTTCACTATCACTAAATTAACACTAACAGCCGCACTCAGAGTCGTTTAATGATTACTTAAGGTGTCCCTCAGTAACGATTTGAAAAAATTCCCTCTCAGAGTCAGCTAATGTTTCATTAACGGCATTTAATGAACATTAAAGTTGAGTAAAGAAAAACCTTCACTTAACTTTTTAACGAGAGATTTTGACAATCTTTTGTTTATTATTTTATTATTTTCGTTTGAATTTGTGTTAGATTTTTAAAATAGTGGAAAAATGTCCGATCTAGAAGACTTCATGGACTTTGCGGATTATGTAAGAAGGCACAGGGAAGTGGGATTGAGGCGCTATCTTCGAGATTATTCTGATCCTTTCACGAAGTACTCAAATCGGGAATTCCATGCACGATATAGATTTACGCCTGAAACTATTAAGAATGTTATTTTGCCTTTGGTGTCTTCTGAGTTGGATAAGCCAACCAGAAGAGGATTACCATTTCACCCGGAAATAATGTTATTGGTAACACTTCGATATTATGCCACTGGCAGTTTTCAGGTTGGTATTGATACAATTATTTACGAGAAGATAACATTTGAATCTGTCTCCATATTATATGTATTATTTTCCAAGGATGGATGTATGCATATAACTATTTCAAGAAACAGCTGAAACTATATACATATGTACATATACATACATATATTTTTAGCATATCATATATAAATAAATTAAAAAAATTAATTAAATTATATAAATTATTATTTATCTTGGAACTTCGACGTTCTTTAATAATAATTTAATAAGTTATACCAACATACTTATGGAAATAAACGTGTGAATTTCCAATGCCTCAACTTTTGGATCTAATGAACGATAACATATGACTATCCATTTCAATTACAGAAACTGGATGGAGATGTGATGAACATATGTCAACAGTCAGTTTCGCGAATAATTTTTCAAGTCTCTACTTCAATAGCGCGAAAAACCAAAGACCTCGTTAAATTTCCATCTACTGCAGAAGAATTTAATAGAGTAAAGTAGGGCCATATTTTGTATTCTGAATTTCGTTAATACATAATAAGTATTTTTACATACTATGTATAAAAATGCTTAATTATTGTTGCACATTTTTATTTGTAGGCAACAGTTTTATGAATTGGCTGATTTTCCTGGAGTAATTGCGTGCGTAGATTGCACACATATTAAAATAAGAAGCCCAGGAGGATTATCTGCTGAGGTATACAGAAATAGGAAAGGGTGGTTCTCTATCAATGTACAAGCAGTCACTGGTCCAAACTTGGAATTTTTTGATTTAGTAGTTCGTTGGCCTGGGAGTACGCACGATAGCTTTATATATAACAGCAGTTCGGTTAAGCAAAGATTCAATAGCAGGGAATTAAAAGGAATACTCTTAGGTGACAGTGGATATGCTGTCAGTAATTTGCTTTTAACTCCGTTTTTATCACCAAGCTCAACTCCACAAAAGGAGTACAATAAAAGCCACATTAAAACAAGAAACACTGTGGAAAGATGTTTTGGAGTTTGGAAGCGAAGATTCCCCTGCCTTCACGTTGGAATGGGTATTAAGCTGGAGACCGTTGTAGCTGTTATATGCGCATGTGCAGCATTGCATAACATTTCCATCTTAGTAGATGACTTGCTACCAGTCAGCTCTGATAACAACGAAACTTTTAATGTCGAAGCCTCACCAATCAATGAAAACTCCAACAGCAACGGTTTTATTGCGCGTCAATCTCTGGTAGACAGATTTTTTTCCTAAGATCTTTTGCTACAAATAAAAGTCTTTAGATGTTGAAATATTAACTATGTCTTTAATTTATTGAACGATTTTTTTTTTGCCTCTTCAAAATCTATTTTAGCCTTTTGTAGTAATACTTGGTTTTTTTGCTCTTCCAACAAGGCTGCTCTTTTTTTTATTTGCTCAACTTCCAACTGTAAAAGAAAATATGCATATACAAATATTTAGCTTTACCAATGCATAGTTATTATATACCTGTGTTTTGACTAATTCAAGCTTAAGCTTCTCTCTCTTCTCTAGGTACCTTACCCGTAATGCTGCCTCCCGCCGAACGTAGTCGCTTGGTCTGCGTACTTGCTCCTTTTCCACTTTTTGTTGGTGGCCAGTTTCATTACTGTGTACTATGTAGTTAAAAAGCAGCGAAAAGAATTTTAGTATATCGTAGATGACTTCTTTCGTATTTTATAGGTACAGTACCTGCAACATTTGGTTCACCTTCATAATTTATGCTTATGGCTTTGAAGTTTACGTCGGATTCCTCATTTGCTTCCGTGATCATATCTAAAAAATGTTGGTTAAAAAGTGATTTGCCTTATATCTTAAAGGACATACCTAAAAACTCAATGGAGCTAGATTGGCTATTTTCCATGTTTAGCAAAATTGCCCCATCGCTGTCAAAGTTGTTGGAGATTTCGCAAATCATTGCGGGAGCAGCCTAATAATTAAATTTTATGACGACAAGACAGTATGAAGATAATAGTTAAGTCCCTAACAGCGCACTTATACGATATGAACGTATTTACATATCGATGGTCCTGTACAACAACGACACAATTCAAAATTCAAAAAAATATTAAACCTGTTACTACTGTTAAGTGACTCATGTATTTAATCCTTGTCGAATCCATGTCTCATCTTTTTACTTACTTTAACAATCCTTACTGCTTACTTTAGTAAGGGATGGAAATGGATTAGACAAGGACTAGAGACAATAATCACTTAACAGTAGTAACAGTTTTTATTTTTCGAATTTTAATTTGTGTCGTTATTGCACAGGACCATCGATATGTAAACGTTTTTTTTTTGTATGTACTCGTAAGTAAAGTAGCATTTACATATATGTATATCGTTACTTTAATATAGAAAGGCTCTATTTCACATAATGCTCAAAATCAATCAATACGTGAATTTAGGATTTTTAGCTAGTTACGATTTTTTTTTTGCATTTCAGCGACTTTGAGAGATAGGGCCTTTCTATATTAAGATAACGATAAGAAAACAAATATCGTGTAAGAGCGCTGTAAGGATACATACCTCTTCCACCATGTCCACTATTGCTTCTACTTGCCGTGATGTTGATGGCACCGGTGGCCCACCGCCCGTTCGAAATAAATTACCCCTTTCTACTGCCCGAGCCTTTCGTGCGACTGCCTTCATATTTTTCCACGCCCTCCTTAATGTAACCGTCTCACGCTGAAATAAACAATATGGAAACACGAAATACTAAAGGTGGCCTCAAGCAGATGCGATAATACCGGTGCGATACGATATCGTACTTTTGCGATAACGATAAAAAGCAAACGCTCTCAAACAGGTTACGACACACTGCGGTGCTATACCGCAGTGGTTTGTATTGATCGCATATCGTAAAATTTTTTACCGCATCTGTTTGACGCTACCTTAAGGCGTATAATAAATTGAATAAATGCATTAGGTCGGGTATTTTTTCGACATCGTTCCTAGCACATTCGTATTCTACATTAAATACCAAAGAAAAAATTCCATTATAGCTCCAAATTTTGAGCCCCCCAAAATTTTAAAATAACCTATCTTTAATTAATACTAAGTTAATGTCTACACTTAATATAAGCGGGAGTGTTATGAAGGTCATATTTTTAATACTTACTTATGTCTTAACGTAGCATTAATTGAAGATAGCTTTTTCAAGTTTGGCGGGCTCGAAATCCAGAGCTATGCTCTAATGGAATTTTTTCTTAGAAATTTATCTAGAATCCGAATCTGTTCCATTCGTTCCATACAACCCGCCTTAAAACGCGTATAATTTTACCTTGTAGACATTCGAATTTGAATTGAACTCATTCGTAAGCAAATCCCAAGCTTCTTTCTTTCTCAAAATTGATTTTCCAGCCGTATGCTTCGATTCTGTAATAGGCCGCTTCTTTATTAGTTGCCCTAATATAGCCTTTTCATCGGCAGTGAAATTTGGACACGCTTTCGATTTACTTTTGCTTCTTCCTAAATTAAAACAAACATTTGTATACGTACATAGAAATTTCCTGGGTGAATTAAGAGCAGGTATTGCAGTTCTTGAATGTGGTAACATGGACAAGCTTTAGCTTTACTATAGTTTGTGCAAGAACCTTTTAACTTGTCGCTTCCAAGAAACAATTGCATTGTAGCTTGACTTGTAAAATCGCATTCCTAAAACGACTGTATTGCAGTTTTCAAATGTGTTTCGAAGAGTTATTACATACAATTCTTTGGGGATGTACAAAACCCACCACACTTCTGGTAGCCCTAACTGACCAGATCACATCTTCGAGTGTGAGCCACTCTCAAAATAGACAAAAACGCTTCTCATCACAATTGTGCTAGCTAATAATTGATTGCCTGCACTATTCTAGAGAGCGTTGCCCAATACTATCTCTCAGCACGGACTTTTCTTTGCAGGCTGGGTACTAAGTAGTGCAGCAATGGACATAAAAGTGGTCATAAATAAGCCGAGACACGTCCAGGACTTAATATAAACCATATTAATTCTAAAACACATACATTCATTCATATGTAAACTATGCATTGTTAAATTATTACAAAAGAAACTCGGAATCAATCACACAATACAAAGAACCAAGTTTTTTCTATGGACTCCGTACAGCACCAGGGATTTTTAAGAATTTCGCTAACCTCGCATCATTGGAGTTTATAAGGAAGCGCGATCTATACACACTTAACACTGGTGATCTGGTTAAAAATGAATGCAGCGAGTACAAATTAATAGGAGGAAGGCCTAAACTACGATCTGATTATAAAAAATACAATAATATGACCCTCGAAGAAGAAAATATATTTAAAAATGGCAATATTTTGATTATAAAAAGTCAATAAAATTATCATCAAAAAAGAAAACCTAAGAATGGAGGCGTCTTGCGCTTATTTGCAAATAGTACCAC